TTAAAGGTATTCAAATCACACAGGGGCACGTGCCCCTGCTGGCCCCCTTGTGTGTCCGCCCCTGCATGCCTGAGAACCTGGATGGCTCTATGTTGTACCTAGAAAATATTGGAACACAATACTCCTCTAAATGTGTAACCCAAATACGGAGTCAAGCCAAAACCAAAGTGGACGGCCCATAAGACATGCGGACCATCTATCAAGCGACCCAAGAACCTGAGATTAGGTTTGTTGATCCCTCGATCGACAAAGACCTGGTCCTGCTGATGACTCTCTGAGTCTTCTCGAGGAAGATTGACGATTTCTCCTCGTCTGAACTCCAAACTGACAAGGTTGATGTCACCACCCAAGTCATCCAATCCTAAAAAGAAGAGTTTGCATGGATACGCTCGACGCCATCTTACGCCCCTATTTGGCGTCGACTATTTAATGCTTATTTCGCTCTTTTTGTGTATGAATACCGACCCCTCTGGGTCCTAAAATATATTCGAACACACCCCTACGAACACAAACTTCCTTTCTCATATGGCTGTAATGGTTTTTTATACCGTTTCTCAATAAAAATTTCGGAGAACCATTCTCATTGTTGATCGCCATAGCCGATCGATAATATCGATGTCTTGTTCTTGTTCTTTTTTTTTAGCATAATATTTTCCTATATCTTTTCATATCTATCCGAGATTCATTATAATTAATTGCACAATAAATATAGCATATTTCCCGATTAAAATGCCTAATTTAGATCTACTATAACAATTGGTGGTCGATTGTCAGCAGTACTCATACTTTAATGTCATATTACCTACTTTTCATGAAATGAAAAAACAAAATATAAAATTTAGGGCGTAATTGTATATCAATTCTACCGTAAATATCTCACTCAAAACTCAAATTTAACTCAACTCCACTATCTCCAATATTATCAATATAATTAAATAATATCAATCAATCATTATTACACATCACATCAACTTTTATTCACTATTCATCCACTCACATAATTTAACTAACCATCACTTCCAATCATTTTCTCCTACTTTTACATCAAATCAACTTTAATTATTTTATTTTAAACATTATTTTAATATATCCACTTACAAGTAACCATACTACTTTTTTTCAAACATAACTATGGTTAAAAAAAATAAAATTGATTTTTACTAGTTAAGTTCATATCTAATCATCCCCTAAGTATTTTTTAAACTTCAATTTAGAAGATTATTTTAGTATTTTACAATCAAAAACTAAAGAGAAATAAAAAAAAAAAATCAAATTTATTTTACAAATTTATAAAAGATAAAGGATTTAATCCAAACCGATTTTGCGGTCGGATTTGCGGATCGGTTGGAGGCACCTTCAATTTTTTCGATTTGCTGGAGAAGGCCTTGTCTTGTCTAACTAATATATTCACTGGAACGCTGCTGCAACTTGAGATACTCCAACTCCATCTCCAAATCAGCTCTCTTCTTCCTTTCAGCCTGCAAATCCATCTTCAACTTCTCGACCGCCTGCGCCATCTGATCCTCGCTGCTCGTCTCCCCATTTTCTTCCCCACTTACCAACGCAATCATCTTCTCCACCTGCTGCCTCTGCAAATCCAAACTCCTCCTCAGAAAAAGCAAACCCTCCAACACCTCCCCCTCAACACCGCCACCCCAATCCGCAACCGAACAGGCCGAGCTTGACCCCTCGGACCGGCCCGCTTCGGAGCCTTCCTTTTCTTGAATCACAGCCTCATCTCCAGGACTCACTTGCTTTTCAACATTTCCTTTGTCGTGATCGGGTGGGAAGACGGGCTCCAGCTTAAATCCCTCCTCGTCAAAATTCCACCCGCTAATCCTCCTTTTTCTCGTTATTGTCTCATCACCAATATCCTCGTCATCATCACACTCCATTTTCTCGAGCGATCTGAGCCGCCGATCATCGATCTTCGCACCCTTAAACCTCCGCTCAACGGGCGGCAGTCCCTGCAGAACGTTCCTAACCAAATAATCGGGACCCCTGACGTTGCCCTTGAAAAACGGGTGCCGGAGCAGCTTATCGGCCGACGGCCTC